CCGGCCTCTTCCGTATCTTTTTGAAGCCTTTCTTTCTTTTGTCCGTTGTTTCCTTCCCCCATTTTGTGGTTCAAGATGCATCTCAGGGGTCATTACCTCTCAGAAGCTTTTCCTAACATTCCTGCTTGAATTAGCCATCTCTGCCTCTTTCTTATCACATTGCAATTGCAGCTTACTGGTTTCTTGCCTGTCTTCTTCGTTCCCTCCCAGTCTGTGAGCTCTTTGAGGGCCAGAACTATTTTTTTTTTTTTTAAATCTATCTATTCCCTGGCCTGGCAGAGTACCTAACACCAGTTGGATTTAGAGTAAACATTTGTTGATAGTAAATAGTATGGGATAGGGCAACCCTATAGGTAACCTGATCTTCCTAATTTAGGACTACAGAAACAAACACAAAAACAAAACAAAGGAGGGAAGCACACAAATCCTTTGTATGTTAATTTGCATACCACACACCTTCCCTGGACACTTCATAGACTACTTAAAATCAGCCTCTTTCTGCAGGAAATGAAGGTGGTTATTCTGTTCAATGATGTCACAGCTAACTGACCCAGGAAAATCCAGGTCTTCTTCCTTGATGAGGTGTCCACACCCATTACAAGGCCAGCTGTAAATGAAGTGTCAAGGGGTGGGTGTGGTATGCAAGTTAGCGTAAGAAGGATTTGTCTGCTTTTCTGGAACCCATACTGCTTCTGAAATAGAGAAACTGTCCTCATTACCAGTGTCGTACGAAGTTTTCTCGAATGATTGGGAGTCTGGATGGCTAGAATGCTCTAATTTTGATGCCAGCTGATTTTTATGGGATTTTTCTAGAGTTTTCAATATTTCTTAGTTTAATAAACAGGGAAAACTTCTGCCCAATAAATAGGGTATCTCTAACGTACGGTTAATTTTTGAAAAGAACATAATTCTTGCTTTACAGCAGAGCCTTTCATATTAACCGTGTAACTTAATTTTTTTCTTTGGGAGTTAAATTACAAATTTTAAATCTTTGGGTTCAGCTTTTTGTATTCTTAATTGTTCCGCGGGGGGCCCGAAGGGGAAGGGGCCGTGATAAACTAGACTGAGAAGGAATTCATTGTGACTCCGCCTTACATCTGGCTAAAGCCACAGGAAACGACCCTGCCTCGCTTTGTTTAAAGACGTAGGATTCTAGCGAGCTTTTTCTTTTTTTCTTAAGCTTACCGTGTTCCAGATACTGCACAGATCTATTTTATCACATTTGTCATTCTCATTTTTACAGCTATGGAAAGTGCGTCTCAACTTCAGTGCCTTGCCTTGGATATTCGACTCAGCTCACCGCGCCCTCATCAGCGTTCCCAGTCCCCGCCGAGCCTTTGCCGACGGTCTCGCTCCATCCAGGCCAACTGGGGTGATGCTGGGGGTGTCTGCGGTATTCGAGCCTGGCTGGGCGTGAGGGCCCCGGGACCAAGTCCCACGCCCGAACTCGTCCAGGTCCGGGTCTGGTTTTTCCCATCCCCCCAGCTTAGCCGGTTGGGCGACCGAGAAACCATAGAACTGAAACAGCCCAGAGCGTCGCTCCCCTGGCCGCCAAGTGCTGACGCCGCGCTGGGGGCGGGGCCACTGGAGGCCGTGGGGAGAGGAGGGAGAAGCCGGGAAGGGGAGGGCTGGCCGGCCCTGCAGCGCCCCGCCGCGGCCGCGGCCGGAAGCGGTCTCGTCGGCCCTCCGGCGCTGGAACCCTGACGCACGGAGCGAGAGCGAGAACTAGAGAGAAAGGGGTAGAAATGGCGGCTCCGTTCGGCTCCCGCTGAGCAGGGCGAAGCCGGCGGAGGATCTGTGCTGTCAGCTTGCAGTATTGCTCCCGCCTCTCGCTACCTCCCTTCTCGCGCCGACTTCCCTTCCTCTGCCCTGCTCTCCGCTGTCCTTGTCTGCGCTCCGCAGAGTCTGGGCCGGCTCGTCTCTCTCCGCCCGGCTCGGCTCCACTGGCCCTGACTGCCCGGCCGGCGGGCCGGCCTTACTCGGCTCTCCCGGGAGCGGCGGGCGCGGCGTGGACCCCGTCCTCCTGGCTGGACCATGGTGAACACCCGGAAGAGCTCTCTGCGCCTTCTCGGGTCCAAGTCTCCTGGGCCCGGGCCTGGGCCTGGGGCCGGAGCAGAGCCTGGGGCGACTGGAGGCAGCAGCCATTTCATCTCCTCTCGGACCCGCTCCTCCAAGACCCGCGCTGCCAGCTGCCCCGCCGCCAAGGCCGGGGGAAGCGGTGGCACCGGCGTCGCTCTGGATGAGGCCCGGGTAAGAGCGCGGCGTCCCGAGTCCAGAGGCTTGGAAGTGCCGGCCCGGCCGCCGGGGCTTTGTCTGGCCGGGTTGAGGGCAGGAAGCCTCTAGTGGAGACCGCTTGGGCGGCTGGAGACAGGGTTCGCGGGTGCGGTGGAGGGTGGCAGTCCGTTGAAGGGCCTCGATTCTAACCCTTTTGCTTTGCTGGGCTGGCTCTTTTGTGTAAATAACAGTACTTGAGTCCAGAGGAGAGGAATTTGGGGTCCCTTTCGGGGGCATCCGAACGATCTGCTTTCCGTGTCCTTGTCCTGTCTCAGAGGAGAATTCTAGGGGAAGCAAGAGCAAAAGGCTAGGGTCCCTGGGTGGAAGGGTTGGAGAAGTGAAAGTTTTCGGAGGTGTCAAACCCGTCTTGAAAGTGTGTCAGTTCCTGCCGCTGTCTAACTCCAGCTTACTCTCAGTTCGGGGGTGGTTCAAGTTCGTGAGGAAGTGAGCAGAGAGCTCCAGTTGGCAGCCAGGCAGGGATGCTGCAAAAAGTTTGTAGCTGCTCTGACACCAACTTTAAAAACAAAATCAACGCTATCGCCTCTCTAGGCAGGAGAGATCAAACATAATATTGTAGCTGAAGAACCAGCCAACCAGCTAAGCAAGGTTCTAGCAGGGACCAGAGCTTTCAGGTCACAAAAGGAACATGTTGAAAGAAACAAGTCGAATGTTTTGGACACTCGATACTATCATCCCAAAATTGTGTGGTTTCTTGGATGTCTCCGTTTTTGTTATGGTAATATCACAGAAGGTGAATTAACACCATCGTTGTCATACAATTGCAAAAGTGACATTTGAAGAAGCCGGTGATGATTTATGTTTTTTAAAAAAGTGGTTGAAAGATCTTGAAATTTTATTTCCTACACGGTAAAACAAAGCTAGTGCAGATATTTATCGTTTTAAAGGAATTGACACATTTGTGCTATTAGATTGGTTCTGAATGCAGAGAAGAGTGTTTGCTTCCGTCTAGAAAGAGGTTAACTTGCTAAGTAACTTGGCTAAAAAATGCTGTTCGTTTAAAATGCTCCTTTAAATTTACACCGTTTTGTTATTCTTATGGGAGAGAAAGCAATATTTTAAGTTCTATAGGGATCTACAAAATTGCGGTTTGTGTGTGCTTTTTCTGTGTTTCATACTGTTTTGACACAAATCAAAATGGATCTAGGGAAAAACAACAGAAAAACTTTACTACACTGAAATATATGTATTGTATCTTTGAAAATGTTTTTGTCTTTTATTTGCTAAAAATCTGGAAGTTGTTTTTAGAACTGTCCTATTTAATAGACAATTTGGGGGGCTTACCGATCTCTAAATCTGAAAGTTAAGCCAAACTATTCGGTATAAGTATTCTGAAGACTAGGCTTTCTGTACAAACTATTCCAAGCATGTACAAGCTTCTTGACTTACTGAAGCTATCATATGTTTTAGAATAAAAGCAAATTTAAGAAAAAGGTCTGTCCTCTACACTTAAGGACAAATAAAATATTTAGAGTGTAAGCATTTAATTGTATCATGCTATGAATGCCTACTCTATTAGAGCAGTGTCTAACTCATCTGAAGCAATTAGCTCATCTATCAATGATCAGTTTGTGGTCCCATTTTTGAATTCATGGCTATCATGCTGTCCTTACCCCCCGAGGAATAAGGTGAGGTAATTTGTCAAGCAGCTGTTATGGAGATGTTAAAAGGCAAGGAATCAATAATCTAATGCAGAAATGAACATTTAGTAGCTTTTAAATTGCTAGAAGAATGAAAGATATTAGAGCTCTTTCTAGAAGGATACTAATGAAACTTTGTTTTAAGGACCCTTAAATGTTTTAAAGACAATAAATAACAGGCTACTGACGAGTTACTTTGAAATGTTTTTCAGTTTTAAAAAGATTTATGTTACGGTTTTAGTAACTGATAGTTATCTAATTGCTTTTTCTGATAGATTTTAGAGACTTACATCTTATATAGTGATTGGACCTTTAGAAGATGTTATAATTCTGAATTTATTAAGTTTATGGATTATATATTTATGAAGCAGGTTGTACATTTCTTTGCTGTATGTTTCTGAAGTGGATTGATTTGAGTCTGGTTAATTCTTCCTTTCCAGTTGGTTTTATAGAACTTTAGCCCTCCTGGCTCATCCTTTCTGTTGTACCTAAAGGCACGGTCTTTGTCTGTGGGGTCTGTAATAGACATTTGTTAGTGTCTATAAAGTCTTGTTTGATGGAAAATGGGGTTGCCTATATTGTTGCTTTAGAATATTCTCATTTTTATAGGAAAACATGTATTTATCTTCGTAAGACGTGTAATTGAAGAGTTTCCCCTTTTTCTGTTTTTGTACTATGTTCTTATGCTTGATGCTGATTTTTCCCTCTTTCCTCTGTGTTTTTAGATTATTTCATTCAATGTGTTTAGAGAGATTTCATTTGCTTTACAAAGCCATAGCACCAAGAGCTTTTCCTATAGTTTGCCTTTTCGACAAGAGGTGCTATCTATAGGATAGGGGGATAAGTAAAGGATACGTTCTACAGGCTACTGGAATGATTTTTTTTTTTCAGTGTTAAGGCTTATATTTTTATTATTAGTTTTGATATGTAAAAGGCTATTCTTAATGTATACAACTCAATGAGTTTGGGGATAAGTATACTCCTGTGAAGCCATCACACTGACAAGTTTCCTTGCTCCCTTTGTTATTATTGTATTATTATTGTGTTTTGTGGTAAGAACACTTAATATAAAATCTACCCTCTTAGAAAATTTTCAGTATACAATACAATATTCTTAGCTGTAGTCACTATGTATATAGTAGATCTTCAGAACTTATTTATTTGGTATAAGTGAAACCTTGTTGCTGTTGACCATTGCCTCCCCATTTCTTCCTCCCCCTGTCCCCTAGCAGTCACCCTTTTACTGAGAGTTTGACTATTTTAGATTCCATGTGTAGGTAGATTATACAGTATTTATCTTTCTGTGACTGGCATATTTCACTTAGCATAATGTCCTTTAGGTCTACCCATGTTGTCACAAATGCTAGGATTTCCTGCTTTTTTAAGGCTGAATAATATTCCATTGCACATACACACATGTAAAAATATATTCATTTATCATCAGACATTTAGATTGTTTCCATATCTTGGCTATTATGAACAATGCTACAGTGAACATAGGAATGTAGAGGTCTCCTTGAAATCCTGTTTTTAATTTCTTTGGGTAAATACCAAGAAGCAGGATTGCTGGATCATATGTCAGTTCTATTTTTGATTTTTTGAGGAACCTCCATACTATTTTCCACAGTGACTGTGCCATTTTACTTTTCCACTGACATGTACCAGGGTTCCCTTTTCTCCACATCTCCCCAACATTTGTTGTCTCTTATCTTGGTAAGAGCCATCCTGACAGGTGTGAGGTGATAGCTCATTGTGGTTTTGATTTGCATTCCCCTGATTAGTCATGTTGAGCACCTTTTCATATCCCTGTTGACCATTTGTATTTCTCCTTTAAAGAAATGTCTATTCAGGACCTTTGCCCATTTTTTGATTTTTATTTTATTTTTTTGCTATGGAGTTACCTTATACATTTTGGAATTTAACTTATATATATTGGAGTATTTTATATATTTGGGAATTTAACTCCTTATTAGATATATGATTTGCAAGTATTTTCTCCCAGTCTGTAGGTTGCCTTTGTGCTCACACCTTTTTTTTTTTTTTTTTTTTTTTTGAGTGGGGCCTTCGCTCTGTCACCCAGGCTGGAGTGCAGTGGTGCCATCGTAACTCACTGCAACCTTGAACTCTTTGGCTCAACTGATCCTTCTGCCTCAGCCTCCCCGGTAGCTGGGACTCCAGGCATGCCACCACACCCAGCTAATGTGCCCACATTTATTAAATGTCAAGTTGACTTTTAGTGCTATGTAGTTAGAGGTGATTACTCCTGTATACTGTGGCTTTTTTTTTTAAGCATGCATAAAGCTTGACCTCTTTAGATCAGCTAATCTGGGTATCGGTTATTAGCGTTTATTTGTTCCGTCTAGGTATCACTGCCAGCAAACAGTCTAATACTGTATTCACAGAACTGGACAGCAATCTTTGAGAAGTATTTTAAGTCTTTTTCTGCCTCTTTTTAGGCCTGTTTGTTAGTACTTCTGGCTTTGTCACTAGCTGTTCAGGCTTTTTGAGATGGTCATTGATTCTGAGTTCCCATCTTGTAAGGATCAAAATAAATATTTTGAGTTATTTTATAGGGAAAGTGCTATGTTACTTTTAATTTAAAAAAATCCCTGGGATCTTCTTTAATATGGTCTTTTATCACTCTGTACTTCTTTTCCAACACTTATACATTTGCCAACATAACAAAGTAGAGTGGTCAAAGTTGAGGGTTAAAAATATGGAAAAGTCATCTGAGAGGGAATTGTAATAATGTACATAACTCTCAGGTGAGTAGGGAAAAATACAAGTTCCTCGGAGTTAGAGCAAGTTTACTGTTACACTGTATCAAATTCAGGAGGAGCACAATTTAGGTGATATTGAGCAACTTGACAATGTCTCCTGCTACAATTTTGAACTAAACCAGCAGTGGAGTTCATAGGATTATCTCTGGTAGCCAGCTGAAAATGCAACTTTAAAGAATTCAATTACTGACTATTTCTGTAGTCCAAATACACATGCACCCTGTTGTTTGGGTCATGGATGAAATTTATAACCCTATAGAAGTGAATACATATTAATTCCTTAAATCATTTCCCAGAAAGTAGTCTTTTTAAAAATTTTTTTGGCAAATAGTCTTTTAACCATTTCTTTGATAGGTCATTTATTGCATATTGCCTAAATACCTAATTATAGATAAACTCGTAGCCTCTGGAAACCAGCTGGACAGGTGGTAGAAATACCACTTGTTATGAGAACTAAGGAGGCCAACTAGTGTTTGCACCAGACTGGAAAATAATCCTATCTGTTGAAGGATCTAAATGCCATATTACTTTGAATTGT